TTAATATAGATATGGGATCACACTATGTTGCCCAAGCTGATCTCAAACTCCTGATCTCAAGTGATCCTCCCACCTGAGCCTCCCATAGAGTTGGGATTCCAGGCGTGAGCCACTACACCTGGCCAAGGCTGAGAATTTCTAAGCTAAGCATCTAATTTAGGAAGGTATTAAAAAGAATATCAGAATAAACCTAAAGAAATTAGAGGGAAAAAAACCGAAGATATGAATATAAATTAATGAAATAGAAAATAAACATAAAATATGCAAAAATTTAAAACCCAATTATTCTTTGATAAATTTCTATAGTTATCAAAACAATGAGAATAAATGCATCAAAATGTAGATAATAAAATATTGTGAACAAATTTATGTTACTAAATTTGAAAATTTAAATGAAAAAATTCCTACCAAAATGCCAATTAACAACACTTACTCAAGAAGGAATGGAAAAACCTAGATTTCCTTTATCCTTAAAAGAAAACGATTGACCGGGCGTGGTGGCTCCCAACACTTTGGGAGGCTGAGGCAGGTGGATCACTTGAGGCCAGGAGTTTGAGACTAGCCTGGCCAACATGGCGAAACTCCATCTCTACTAAAAATACAAAAATTAGCCAGGCATGGTGGCTGCATGCCACTGCACTCCAGCCTGGGAGACAGAGCGAGACTCCATCACAAAAAAAAAAAAAAAAAAAAAAAAAAAAAAAAAAAAGATTAATAGTTAATAGTTAAAATATCTCCTGACAAAGAAAACTGAAGGTCCAGCTAGTTCTTCATATGAGTTATACCAAACTTTCAAGCAAACAGATTATGCCAATATGATTGGAATCGAATAGGAAAAATAAGGAAAAGTTGCTTCTCACAAAAGGCATAATGACAAAATTCTAGAGAACAATGTAGAAGCACTCCCATGACGTGAAAAAGGGGAAGGATTCCTTAAGGTGCAAAATGTGCTCCATTGTAATGGAGAAAGTCGCTGAAAATCTACCGACCGTAAAATGGAGAATTTAGATTGGTGTAATCACTTTGGAAATATTTTGACATTATTTAGCAAATTTAAACTTTAATGTATTATGTGAACCTAAATTTTATTCTTATGTATATACCCTTAAAAGACTTGCGTGTATATGAAGATCTATAAGAATGAGCATTAAAACATCATTCAAATTACGAAAGCTACAAACAACTCAAATGTTCAATTACAGTAACAAGAATATATAAAGTGTAGCAGCAGATTCCCACAGTGGAATGTTATTCATCAGTGAAAAGGAATAAACGACTGCTACATGAAGACGCATGGAAGTCTCAAAAGCATAAAAACAATCTCAAAAGACTGTTTCTCTGCGGCCATGAGAACCAATCACAGAAGACTTTGTGATTTCACGTTTGGAAAGCCTTTAGGTAGATGAAACAGTCAAAACTAAGAACACAGTTTGGGATGCATGCAGATGATATGTTGTTGATTCTAAGCCATGTCTCCTTTTTTGACATTTCAATCATTTCAAAATTGAGATTCATTTTGTAACCAAAGTTTTGTCAACAAACCATTCATTTTGTAAGTAGCTTTCTTAGACTTGAAATCATGACGCATCTTACAATGTTGGGAGCTTAAGTTCAATGAAATATGGTAGGAAGTGGAACTATAAAGAAAAGCATGAGAAGATCAACATAAAATTTGGGACACCTACGATTACCTACGCCTGGGAGGGAGAAGGCTGCAAGAAGGAAGGGGAAGCAAGCAGAATTCTATTTACTGACAATGTGCTATTTTTCACCTAGGTGCAGTATATTGGTGTTTGTTTTCTTCCTCCTCTTCCTCCTCCTCCTCCTCCTCTTCCTTCTCCTCCTCTTCCTCTCCTTCTCTTTCTCCTTCTTCTTCTTCTTTTTTTTTGAGGCAGGGTCTCACTCTGTTGCCCAGGCTGGAGTGTAGTGGCACAATCTTGGCTCACTGCAACTTCCACGTCCCAGGTTCAAGCTATTCTCCCACCTCAGCCTCCTGAGTAGCTGGGACTACAGGCATGCATCACCACGGCCTGGCTAATTTTTTGTATTTTTGGTAGAGACGGCCTTCGTGTTGGACAGGCTGATCTCACACTGTTGGCCTCACATGATCCTCCCACCTCACACCTGTAATCCCAGCACTTTGGCTGAGATTACAGCCTCCCAAAGTGCTGGGATTACAAGCGTGAGCCACAGTGCCTGGCTTGTTTTATTATTATTCTTTAAAAAGGTTAGAGTTTCACATGTATAAATATCTTTCACAATTAAAAAAAAAAAGAGTGAATGAGGCAAGTAGGTGGAGACACACATGTAGTAGCTCAGGAAGCTGGACAGTAAAGGGGAGAAGAGAGTGAGGTGGGCCGGGCGCTGTGGCTCAAGCCTGTAATCCCAGCACTTTTGGAGGCCGAGGCGGGTGGATCACGAGGTCAAGAGATCGAGACCATCCTGGTCAACATGGTGAAACCCCGTCTCTACTAAAAATACAAAACATTAGCTGGGCATGGTGGCGCGTGCCTGTAATCCCAGCTACTCAGGAGGCTGAGGCAGGAGAATTGCCTGAACCCAGGAGGCGGAGGTTGCGGTGAGCCGAGATCGCGCCATTGCACTCCAGCCTGGGTAACATGAGTGAAACTCCGTCTCAAAAAAAAAAGAGAGTGAGGTAGCCGTTGTGGGAGAATGTGGAGGAAACTCCAGGAAATAAACAGAAAGACTGAAGAGCTGGGAGGTGTCCGAGCTGACACATATGGAGAAACTGGCCTTTCAGGGAGACACCTCCTCTATTTTAGCAAGAGGGGCAAAGGGGACAATGGGCTTACAGAATTGACAGTGGAATTTTCTCGTTTCCCCTTGATGGTTTCTAGTTTCTTTACAAAGAATTTATATGTGGTCTGGTACAGTTATCAGGAATGAGATGGGCAAATGGCATGAGGGGTGGGCATCTAAAATGAAAACGATTGTTCAGCAGTTATCCCACGCTGGGTACTCAACCAAGAGCCTTTGACATCCATCATTCCATGTATTGCTCTCATTAACACTATGCGGTATACATTCTCTCATGATGCCTGTAATAATTTCCTAGGGCCACAGGAAAATAATAAAATACCACAGATGAGGTGACTTAGGTAACAGGAATTCACTTTCTCCCTGTTCTGCAGGCTGGCGGTCCACGAGCAAGGCGTGGACTGGGTTGGTTTCTCCTGAGGCCTTTCTCCTTGGCCTGTGGATGGCTGCCCTCTGTGCGTGCTCAGCCCTGCCATCTCTCTGTGTGCTTCACCTCCTCTCCTTTAAGGACACCCATCAGACTGAATCAGCTAAAGTCCTCATTTTCACTTAATCACTTCTTTAAATACGGTCACATCCTGAGGTGCTGGGGGGTTGGGGCTTGAACTTATGAATTGCGGGGGACACAATTCAGGCCATCACAATTCCCATTTCTCAGAGAAGGAACTGGAGACACAGAAAGGTCAAACAGCTTGCCAAGGTCATGCAGCTCCTCAGCATCAGAACTGGGATGTGGACACAAGCAGGTCATCTGCAGCGGCTGAATACCAACCATTCCTCTACACGTCTAGTCCTGGGCCTGGAAGAGTGAAGAAGGATGGAAAGGTCTTTTGGAGAATGTTTTTAAAAAACAGAACAGAATAAAGGAGCAATATTGTCAGACTTTTCTGAGGTGTCCCAGCAACCAGAATGGAGGTGAATGCTCCAGAAGCCAGGATGGACGATCCTCTTACAGCCTCCCTATTAAAATCTGGGCTTTAAGGAGAAACATGAAAATCTAGGCTAAAGTGGCAGGAAAGGTCAACAACTTAAGCATGAGCTGGAATCCACTTCTCCTTGCTCTCAAGGGGCCAGGTGTAAGTTAGGGACTGAGAAGGGTGACACCTGCTGGGCTCCGATGGTCAGAATGGGTGGGACCTGGCTCCTTTCATATGTGGTCCCTTGCTACCCTCTGCTGGCCAGAACTGGGAATACGCAGGAAGCTGCTGGTAGCCCCACTTCCTCCGAAATTCCACAGATCTGGGAAAGACGGGAAGAATCTACTGGAATCACACAGCGTGGCGCATGTCAGTTCCTCTCCACACATATATACGCATATTGAACCAATGTTACAGTCAGTTTTCACTTTTTACAATTCTATTACCGTATAGCCGTTTTAAACGTTGCTTATGACTTTCGTTTTTGTCTTTTTCTGTTTTGTTTTTGTTTTGAGATGGAGTCTCTCTGTCACCCAGGCTGGAGTGCAGTGACACAATCTCGGCTCACTGCAACCCCCGCCTCCCAGGTTCAAGCGATTCTCCTACATCAGCCTCCCCAGTAGCTTGGATTACAGGCTCATGCCACCACGCCCAGCTAATTTTTGCATTTTCAGTAGAGACAGGGTTTCACCATGTCGGCCAGGCTGGTCTGGAACTCTTGACCTCAGATGATCCGCCAACCTTGGCCTCCCAAAGTGCTGGTATTACAGGCGCGAGCCACCCTGCCCGGCCAAGATTCCATTTAAAAATGTTACTCTCCACTGACCTTATGTGAGAAAAAAGAAAAAAAAATGTGTTACATTTGCCACCTTTTCAAAAATGATGTTTCCTAAGATAGAAGAATATGAGAATTTGAATACAAGTGTTGATGGTTTATCAAAATGCTAGTTTGTTCATCATTTCATATATTCTTTTTTAAAATATTTTTTTAGAGACAGGGACTCCCTCTGGGTGATTCCTCTGTCACCCAGGCTTGGAGTGCAGTGGTGTGATCAAAGCTCACTGCAGCCTCAAGCTCCTGGTCTCAGGGGATCCTCTCACCTTAGCCTCCTGAACACCACACCTGGCTAATTTTTCAATTTTTTGCAGAGACGGGGTGTCAGTGTCTGGCTATGTTGCCCAGGCTGGTCTTCAGCGCCTGGTCTCAAGTGACCCTCCTGTCTCAGCCTCCCAAAGTGCTGGGATTACAGGCATGAGCCACTGCACCAGGCCTTCATGTTTTCAAAAATTGTAAACTCACTGTAGGTTTGGAAATCCTTTTTTTCAGTATTTAAAAATCATTATCTGTTATGTGATAGTCTTGGGACCCCACTATTTGGTTACAGTACGTTTGAAAAATAATTCTTTTTATTTTCAAATGTTAATTTTCATCAAAACAAAATCAGTAGTTCCCGCTTTAGAAATGGATCTTTGGCATAGACATGTGGGCAAAAATCTTCAAAAGTAATAAAGGAGCCCCTTGAGTTGAGAAGTATTAAGTAAACACCAGGAAAAAAAAAAATTGATCTCACCGAGAACTCCTAGAATTCCTGATTAGTTGTGCCACACAGAGTATGTTACTTTGTGGGCCTCTGTCAAATTCCAGATGGGTGGCTGGAGAGCACCCAGTGTCCCGGCTCTTGTGTGAGTCCCCAGACCTGCTTCATGCAGTTACCAGAACAATCGTTTAAAATGCAGTCAGATCGTGATACCCTCTGCGTCTGGAGAGGTCAAATGTCACACCTTTGATCTTAGAATAAAATACTGATTCCTTCCTGGCTTTACAAGGCCAGCTGCTCTGACTCATGCCAGCCCTCCCAGGCTTGCCTTTAGTCACTTTTCCTTCCCCTTCAGCTATTTGCATTTTCATCTTTTGGGGACCTTTCTGTGGACTCTACTTCAACATTCTGTTTATGTCCTTCAGAGCACTTGCTTCCGATCGTAATAACTGTGCGTGTTTATCTGTCATTAATTTCTTGTCTCCACCATTAGGCGGCATCCCCAGGGGGAGGTCCTCATCCACCCTGCTCTTTCCTGTGTTCCCAGTGCCTAATGAGCATTATTTGTCAATGAGTGAGTGAATGAGGAGAGCAAAGGAACACACTGAGTGGTGACAGACACCAAGGTCACTCCACGCAGACCACATACTAGGTTATTTACATACATATAAGGAAGTTTCATCCATGACCCATGGCATGGGAAGCAAAGAGAGGGCTGTGGTTGGGATCAGGCCAAGAGCTGTACTTTTATCTTTGACTTACGCTTGTCATCAAAACCAGTCCTTCCCTGCTTAGAGAATACCAGCGAAGCAAACAGAACCTCAGGACCCACATGGAAGGAAGCTGGAGGGCAGCAAGGAAGCAGAGGCTTGCTAACTCATCAGGTGCAATTTTGCATCACTGCTATGGGTACCGATCCAGGATGCAAACACCAGCTGCTCAACCAACCAGTAACACTTTGTGTTGATCCAGTGCCTTCCCCTTGAAAAGGCACCAGCACAGCGTCATAGGCACCCAGCCCTGCTCAGAGGTAGGTACATTAACATTCCCATTTTACACATGGCAGGAGAATGCGCCCATGATCGGTGGGCTGGGTACACAATTGGCCAGCAGACTCGTGTGTGGCCTTCCAGGGGTTCTGCCTCCATCTTCGCTGTGAGACGATCAGAGTCTGGACAAAGGAAACTAAGTTCAAAACTGTCACCAATTCCGAATCCAAGCCTGAGGAAGCCTGATGAGAGGCGTCCCCGGGAGAGATAGCTGGGGCAGAAACACTTGCTGGGCTCCAGGGAGGCCTGGGCCAGACATCCTGAGGCATAGTTCCTCCACCTGCAAAGTGTTACTGGTTTGATGTAATTTCTGTGGCTGTTTGTGGCCTTTTTCCTAGGCAGGATCCTGGCACCTGACTAAGGAACCATAAAGAGAACAAGCCAGAATAAAATTAGTCCATCAGGGTGGGCTAATCTGGGGGTTCTTCAGGAAAGTGGACACCTTTTGGGCCACAGCGTCCAGCTCGATGGGGTTGGTGCACTGAAAGAGGTTGCTGTTTCGGACGAAATAATGTTTCAGGAAGTGCTGGCTCGCACACTTGTGCAATTTCCTCACCAGGCGTAAGAACGCTTTGCTGAAGACCTGCCAGTCTTTAAAGTGGGGATATTTCTCGCAGGTCCAAAAGAGCACGGTCTGTGGAAGGAAGAAGTGCTGTCAGACGTGGTTTCAGGCAATTGAGGAGGATATCTTGGAAACAATTAATGAGCATATGTGCCCTTGGAAAGAGGGAGAAAAGAGTTGCCCAGGGCAGACTGAATCTGCCATGAATTCACAATCCCCAGCTTCAGATGGGCCGCCGTTTACCAGCAACCCCGCACCTCTTCCGAATCTATTCCCTCACCCTCCTCCAACATCTCCCATGGTCTCCACTCCAGGCAATGCCTTTGCCTTCTGCTCCACAGGGAAAAGGGAACCCCTCATCCTCCCAAACTAGACAGATCTTGCCCACTGAAGCACCCTCCTCTCTTCCTCCCTGCTCTGCCTCTCCTGCCTGTGGGGCTGACCCCTCCACGGGGCTCAGGATCCCACCTTCCAGGAACTGTACATGACCGATTACTGTCTTCCTCAACTGCTTTCGCCAGCTGAAAGCCCTCCGGCCACCCCGACCCCTCAGCCGCCCCGCCCTCACTCTTCCCTCTGCAAATCCAGGCTTTTCCGAAGAGTCGGCTCTATTATTTGTCATCATTTCCACTCCTCCCGTTTCTCGCCTCAATCCGCTCCAACACGGACTCTTCTCTCATTAATCCTCAAAGGCTCTTCTCATCAAGGCCCAATGAGCTCCACGTTTCTAAATCCAACAGGCCTTTGTCAGCCTGCACCTCACCTGACCTTTCAGCAGAGAACCCCCACGCCCTCCCTCCTCAGCCATCCTTCCCTTGATTCCAAGCAATCTCCTCTCTGGGCTTTGTCCTGGCCCGGCAGCGCCTCTTTGGCAGGCTTATGCTCCTTGGCCTGCTGCGGGAGGTGGCATTTCTGGAGGCTCAGCTCCAGGCCCTATTCTCCTCTCTGCATTCTCACGCCTCAGCTCTGTGTTCCCTCCACAGCAGCGGCTCTAATTCTCACTACATATGAATGACTGGCAAATCTGTGTCTCCAGCCCAGACTTCTCCTCTGACTTCCTTACCGTGCATCTCATGGGTATCCGAAAGTTATCTCAGTCCCAACGTGTTCAAACTGAACCCCTGCCTTTCCTGCACAAACCTGATCTGCCTCCAGAGTCGCTTAGCTAGCTAGTTGTGCAACACACAAACGTAGGAGTCATCCTTCTTTCTTACCACCCCCAGTCAAGTCCTGCAATCCTCTTGCTTAAGTATTTCTGGAGTCTACCCACTCATTTCACCTCTAGCATTATTCTACCATCCCCCTCCCGTGCCTCCACATCTCACTGGACCTCTGCAGCAGCCATCTCATCAGCCTGTCCCTGTTCTTGCCACCATCCCAACGATCGCCATCCACACTGCTACCACTGGGATCATTCTGAAGCATAGACATCGACTTCCCTTCTCATCTAAAATACTTCAAGGTCTTCCCATTGTTTGTTAGCTAAAAACAACGTGGTGTGGTTTAGAAGGTTTGGTCACTGCCTTCCTTTCCGGACTCATCTTGACCCATGTCCTCTCTTGCTGTCTCCATGTACCCACATCAACCATTTCATGCTCCCTTCTACCACAAGGCCTTTGCACACTCTGCTTCTGCTGCAAAGGACACACCTCTTTCCCTTCTTTGTCCATCATATCAAATTTCCCTAGTACACTCATTGCACACTCTCTTAGCCATGTACTTCTCATAAGAAGCAGTGACAACAGTCGTAGTTTTTATATTTATGTGATTAATTTTATCATTTCCCCTACTGGATTATAAACTTTATGACAGCCCTGAACGATGCCTTTTTTTTTTTTTTTTTTTTTTTTTTTGAGCAGAGTCTCGCTCTGTCACCAGGCACCAAGCTGGAATGCAGTGGCACGATCTCGGCTCACTGCAACCTCCGCCTCCCAGGTTGAAGTAATTCTCCTTTCTCAACCTCCTGGATAGCTGGGACTACAAGCCCATGCCACCATGCCCAGCTAATTTTTTTTTTGTATTTTTGGTAGAGACGGGGTTTCACCATGTTGGCCAGGATGGTCTCGACCTCTTGACCTCGTGATCCGCCCGCCTCGGCCTCCCAAAGTGCTGGGATTACAGGTGTGAGTCACCGCTCCCAGCTGATGCCTATTTTTATTCACTATGAAGGCACCCAGTACCAGCAGAGCCTAGCCCATGAGAGGCAGTCAGTAAACATTTATTGAATAAGTGAATTAATGAATTATCCATTCATGTTATGGTTTAGATATTGAGTATTTTTATACAGTCTATTTTTAGAGCGGTTGTACGTTCATAGCAACTATTTAGATTATATTATTTTGAATAAATGAGTTAATTTCATGCTAATGAAGATAACCTAGATATCAGAAAAAGAATTTAATTCTTCTTGTTAATGAAGGTATCTCCCTAAGCAAACTGAGGCCATTAAGCTCATTATAAGCAAGCCAGTGGACTCTGAGTGGGTTTCAGGAATAAATAAGCCAATGAAAGATAAGCTTTGGCTTCACACGAAACAGTCTTGGAGCAGAGCCTTTTTGGGGAGAAGGTGAGGGCCTCGTAAGAGAGTGTCAGACTTAAGGTGAGGCGAGTCTGAGTGCCACAGCTTCCTAACGCTGTTTTGCAATCCAACCTCTTCTACTTTTCCCAAAATGAAGATTTGGCAAGAATCCAGCCACTCAGTCATCATCCCATTCATTTCCAGGGCAGGAACGCCTAAATGGGAGATAATTCTGCCTGCGGACTAAGGATAGAAGACCAGAGAAAAAGGCAGTTAGCACTGTTTCTGTTTATCTTACTCCAGAAATAGGCCCCTTAAAAAACATGCCCATCCTTGAGAACGCACAATTGTATTGTGCCATGCAGGTGGTCAGGGAGGACTGAAACAGAATCCTTAAGTTGTCTTAAAATCCACTAGGCGACTTAGGAGCCATCAGAATAGAAGTCAGCCTTGCGGGGTGTATAGATTTGCAAGCAGCCATGGGCTGGAAGACCCGTGGAGGCCCCGTTCAATCCTGCCTGAAATATTCATGTCACTGAATGCATTTCTATCCATCTTAATTGAGAGGGAATGAGGTCTATTGTTAAGAATATGAGGTTTTGACATGAAATAGACTTGAGTTTGCTTCTCAGCTCTGCCTCTTCCTAGTGTGGCCTGTATAAAGGAAAGCAAGAGAAGCTAAATCCACGGAACGAATCAATGTATCTTCTGCAAGCACATGCCCCCCCATCCAGGAGAACAGCCTGTGTGTTTTTAGGGGAGTGTGCTTGAGGGCACGTTGAGAACGTTGGAACACCAGCGAAAAGCCCCGGTGGGTGTGAATGAGATGTTAACAGATTCTTCCAAGGTCAAAAAAGATAGGTTATCAGGAAACATAAGAATGTGAAGCCAAGACTTCACCTTTTTACACACAAAAAAGAAAAGCTAAGATGTGAAGCCGCTCATTCAACTGCTCAACAAATATTTACTGAGCTACTATCTACAAAGCACTGGGGAGGTACTGGGGGTGTCGTTCATCCTTCTGTCAATGAACAAGACCATCAGGTAAGGTCAGCATGCTAGCTGGACAAGACCAATGTGGTATCTGTCCTTCAATAAGTTACTTTACAGCACACACAGTAACATGAGGCTGGAAGACGGTTTTGTCCATCAAATGAGAGGAGGAGCAGGCAAGCGTACGTGAGGAAGGCACCTCACAGACAGGTGACTGCCCCAGGGACTACCTGAGTAGAAAGGCATCCATCCTTTCTGGGGCCAGGGAGGAGGGTTGAAGGTCCTGGACCCACGCTAGGCTGGGCTGGGGTGTCCTGCAAGAGTCTCCTACTTCTCCACCCCGGCAGGCTGCACACAGCTGCTACATAAGAGTCCACCTGACTCTGTATGGTACACAATTTGAGAAAGAGGGAGTCGGGAGGGTGGTCAAAGCCCACCTCTCCAGGGACTGCCCAGTCCAGGTCAGGCTCCGCTGCTCTGAGCCTTCACAGAGCCATGCTCCCCGCTTTCCTGCGCTTCCTCACTGTGTGATTCTACACGCACCACGGGCTTGCCTCACCCATGTCTATCTCCCATGCTAGATCAGAAGTGCCACGAGTGAGGAACCACATCTGTGTCTGTTCACCTTTGTGCCTGCAGGGGTTGGGCCCACAGCAGGTAATGGGGCAGGCCTCTGGCCCAGAGTAATCTCAATAAAAGCTTGCTGAATGAATGAGGGAAGGCATGAATGAATATGTACTCTTGGCTTTAGGGGAAGGGGAGGCAGGTGCTGGCAGAGCAAGGGAAAATCCTTGCCTGGTGAGTTGGATCCTGGAAAGAGGTGTGTGGCACTACCTGTGTGGTGGCTGCTGTGTTGCATTTCCTGGCTCCCCTCTGTGTTGTGGGTCCGTGTGCATGAGGAGCTGTGCTTAGGCTGGAGTTGGTTCTAAGACCGGAGCAAACACGAAGCCATCAAAGTGTGAGGCACGAACCACATTTTGTAATTCATCCCTGAACCTCAGCAGGCTTTCCGGCACTTAGCGGGCACTCAGGTTGGTTTGGTGGGTAAAATAAAAGCAAGAGGAGAAGAAAAGTGGGAGAGAGAAGGGAATTGGGAGAGGGAAGGGAGGGAGGAAATTTTACCCTGGGCAGGGGTGTTGTGACTTTTACATATTTCCATAATAAGTAATCATTTGTTGGATGGCACGTGTAGATACCAGAGCCTTATCCTGAATTTTTCGCACATGCCACGCCTTCTGAGTGGCTCTGGCCAGGCTCCACAGAGGCCACAGGGAGAATGACCTATCCTGTTATTCTCCAAAGCTGCCCCTGGGCCTTCTCCCACCTGCCCCACACTCACCTGCAGATGGTGAGATGTGATGACCGGCCTGATCCCCGGGCACCAGACATCCTCCTTCAGCTGCCTCATGACTTGAAGACACTTCCTACGGCAGCCCCCATCGTCATCCAGCTGTTCCAGCAACACCTGCTCAGCACGGAAGAAGCTCAGCTGCCAGTGATAACTTGAACTGGCCAACAAGTTAAACCCAAACGACTGGAATAAAGAGAAAAATATTGGGAAATGAGAAGAACAACGCTCACCGGTGTAGAAAGCCATCTCTGAAGCAGTCCACTGATCTGGGGAACCTGCCACCAGGCAGACAGCACATCCTACGTGGGGATGCGAAGGGGGAGTCAGGGAGACCACAAGCCACCTTGGATGTGGACAGTTAGAAGGTGGTACCCACTTCCTCTCCTGAAGCAGTTCTCCAACTTGGGCACGCATCAGAATCACATCACTCAGAGGGCTTCTTAAAACACAGATTGCTGGGCCCTGTTCACAGGGTCTCATTCAGCAGGTCCAGAGCCGGGCCCGGGAAGCTGCATTTCTAACAAGGTCCTAGGTGACGCTGGTGCAGGGCCCACACTGAGAGCTGCTGATCTAGTGACACCTCAACTTTCTTTCGGAAACTTGTTGGCAGTCAGTAATGCTGTGACTGGGTAAGCTGTCGGCATCACTGCTCTAGCAAGCGGGGGTCCCGCCCACCGATACCTTGATGCACTCCACTCTCTCTTGGGAAGGCCAGCGCTGCAGACATCGAGGCCACCGGGCTTTCTCGGACCAGGCAGTGGGGATCTCCACTGCGGGGACCAGCTCCAGTTCCACCGGATATGCAGATGTTTCCACGGCAACCCAAACTGCAGAGCGGTTTCCTAGCATGCTGACCTTACCTGCTGGGAAATGACCAGCTGGGTAAGGAGAAGAGAAAGGCTTGCACAGCACAGGCGTTCAAACAAGGAATGTGTGAGCAGTTGCTCTGACCAGCTCCTTGCAACTGGTGTGGCAGCTTTCACAGCGTCTGTAGCATGTCAGAGATCGAGCTTTGACTTCAAAACCAGATGGTTGGTCAGCTAGCCAGCATTGGAGCTAAGAAGTCTCACTGCTGGTGGATTGTTCTTTCTCCCCCAGTCCCAAGGCTTTTATGGTACCTTTCCTTTTAAATTAATAGACTCTTTTCAGAAGGCTCAACTAGAAAGAAAAAGTGTAGTGCAGATGCCCCTTGACTTACAATGGGGTCACATCTTAATGAAGCTGAAAATATTGCAAGTTGAAAATGCATCAACATAGCTTAGGCTAGCCTACCTTAAATGTGCTCAGAACACTTACATTAACTTACAGTTGGGTAAAATTACCTAACACAAAGCTTATTTTATAATAAAGTTTTGAATATCTCACAGAATTCATTGAATGGTTGTATGGGTACTTGAAGTACAGTTTCTACTAAATATGTATCACTTTCACACCCTTGTAAAGTAAAAAAAATTATACATTGAGCCATGGCGAGTTGGGGACCATCTGTATTTGCTACCGTAAAATGAAAGCTAACTATTTTTCTGTATCCTTCTCCATTCCACCCAAACATCTAAATGTTGGTTTTCAGAGTAATGCAAACATAGGGAAGGTCAATGCCATTCTTTCCCACTTCACCTCAATGTTCTGACACTGCTTAGGGACAGCATCAGCCTCCTTATGTATTCATATGCCTTTGGTGAAATCTGGCTTCACATGTCTTTTATCTGAGCCTCAGTCTCTTAGATGGTATTTGTTTTTACCATCCACTCAGCTAGCCGAGTCTCAGAGGTACCTATCATCGGAAACCTCTGTAACCACAAAATACGTCGAAGCACGTTACAGCCACTGTTTCAAGGGTCAGGTGACTGGAAGGAAGCGTCCATTGCCTCGTTTTCTAACCAGGCAAAGAGAAGAAGAGCAAACTAATGCATCTGGGAGTTTTCCAGCTCACATATTAGAATTTCCTCATTTCTAATTTGCTCCCCCTTCTTTCAAAAGATACAGTTTTTGTTTATTTGCCTTCATTACAGATAAAGATAAGCAGTGTTGAATAGACCAGGATCTATTCATCCTTCTCTGCTCATCCCAATTCTTGAAACAGATAGGAATCTATTATTTTGCATTTCCGTGCACAGGTAAGAAAATGGAAGCACATTAATTGTGTTAGGCTGTTCAGAAGGGAAACGTTCCTCTCCTTGGCCAGGGTGGGATAAAGGGCTTGTTGTCTGCATCTTATCAGAGCTGCCCAGACAGGAACATGACAAGCACTTTAGCATTGTTTACTGAAAGCACCTCGTCAACCTGGCCCGGTCTGAATTCTGCTCCACACTTTCACTATGAATAATGTCACACAGCCTTAAGAGGTGAGCGGGTGCTGGAGCCAGCCCATCGGCCCACACCCTGCTCTGTAGCTGGCTCTGCTTACGAGGTGTGTGACCTTCAGAAGTGACTTAATCTTGCTAAGTCTCAATTTTCTCATCTCTAAAACAGGTAGGAAAAGAATTCTTATTCTATTGTGTGGTTACAAGGATTAAACTAAATAATCCATGAAATTTACTCTACTTAATAAAAAATCTATTAAACATGAACTATTACCACTATGGAAATTTTCATAGCTGTTCATCTAGACAAGCAAATGTATGTACAAATACATCCTACAGATGGAATTTCATGTTGTTTAGCAGTTTGGTTTTTCACTTAATTATCTAGCACATGCATTTTTCATAGCTCTGCATATATGCGTGGGGCATATGCCTGTTCTTTTTTTTTTTTTTTTTTGAGACGGAGTTTCGCTCTTGTTACCCAGGCTGGAGTGCAATGGCGCGATCTCGGCTCACCGCAACCTCCGCCTCCTGGGTTCAGGCAATTCTCCTGCCTCAGCCTCCTGAGTAGCTGGGACTACAGGCACGCGCCACCATGCCCAGCTAATTTTTTGTAGTTTTAGTAGAGACGGGGTTTCACCATGTTGACCAGGATGGTCTCGATCTCTTGACCTCGTGATCCACCCGCCTCGGCCTCCCAAAGTGCTGGGATTACAGGCTTGAGCCACCGCGCCCGGCCGCCTGTTCTTTTCAAAGGCTGCATAGTAGTCCAGGAGGCAGAGATAGCACAATTCAATTTAGCCAAATAAACAATTTTCCTTTGTTAGCCATTTATATTACTTCTAGCCATTTACTATGATAAAACTGATGGCAGAGAATATCCTGGTGCATATTTCTTTGTGTATTTCTATAAATACATTTCTAAAACTAGAATTGTTGAATTGTCAAGTAAGCACATTATAAAAATAAAAAACAGACCAATTGCCCTTTAAAAAGGAGACACCAATTTACACTTCTAATAACCACATGAAAATACCCACTTCACCATGCCAGCTCGACACTAAGCGAGATCACACTTTTCATTTCTTTTAACTAGTTAGGTGTTTTAATGCACACAACATTAGTATATTCCATATATGTTGAAATATACATTAGATGGAACGCCTTTTCTTATTTTTTTCAAGCCATTTGTATTATTTTCCTATGATTCCTTTTTTTTTTTTTTTGGTAATTATTTCTGTTGGTCAGCTTATCTTTCTTCTTGTTTATAAATTAAGAAAATATAAATTTTCTTAAAATTTATATTTCATAAATTTTAATATTTTCTTTAAATATAAATAATAGAAAATTATATTTTATAAATAAATTTATAAAATATAAACTATTTGTATTTAAAGAAAATATAAAAAGTTAAGAAAATTAGCCATTTCCAGTTTGAAATTCACTTTTTCACTTTGTGTGAACAAAAAGAGTGTGTGTGTGTGTGTGTGTGTGTGTGTATGTGTGTGTGTGTACATATGCTGCATTGTACAGTAGTTTAAGACTTTGGAGTTGTCAAACTTAATCAGTTCTTTATGGCTCCTGGATTTTGTGTTTTGGTACAAGTTGGTGGTTTCCAAATGTGGACTCTCAGCACAGTGGTACTGCAGACAGACGGAGGAGGTGCTGCGGCAGAAATGTGCTGATCACGAAGACCTGGGGTTTGTGAATAATTTGCCTTTTTAAAAAAAAAGTATGCTTAAGTTTTTAGGCCTGGTTAAGGCTTAATAATCCACAGCATTTTATAACTATGTCAGCACAGTAACTTTCTTAAAGTCACACGACTATTTTGTTAGTATGAATTCCAATTGTCTGTACATTAACAGCAGGGAAAAAAACGCTGATTCATATTTTGAGGATTAAATAAATGTGAAGAGCACATGATTACTTTCTCAAATTTAGGGTGTGAGCTGCAGACAACACCCAAGCAGAGGTTTTATAGAGTGAAAAGGGAATGTCAGCAATTTTCCCTTGTACTTGTTCCCGATCAGCTCACCTGAGAGGTGACAGGTTCTGATTGCGTTTTCCACCAGCTTCCGGAACACCAGGAGGACCTTGGCAGGTACAATGTCTCCGTCAATGTTCACATCTGTCTCATGCCACTGCCACAGGCTCTTCATAAATTGTTCCACCTCCAGCCACTGCTGCAGACCCTCGGGATCTCGCAAGGGGCAGGGCAGCCTGGTGCCCTGCAGGGTATAGTACCTCCAGCGCTGCTCCCTGGCTTCCCTGTAGCCGGCCAGGCCTTTTACTGGGACTGTGACAAGGAACTGAGTGGGGGCCAAAACCTGGGGTCAGGAAAGGATTGAAAATAAGCATGAGTTAATAGATTCAGAAAGTAACAGACATCCTGGGAACCAACCTGTCTCACCAGGCAGCTCTGTTAACCACTCCACCCTCAGCAGTGCGACCAGATACACAGAGACCTAGACCTGGGTGTTGCAAGTGGATTACATCTTTGTTCTGCCACTGAACCACTGTAAATACTTCAAGTAGGTAAATTAACTCGCTGAGTTTATGATTTCATGAATCTGCAAGTAAAGACAATGAACTAGACCAGGAACTTCACAGGGATCTGAAGTTTGAGAAAGAAGAATGAATATGCATTGATTTCCATGAAGATGCAGCACTGTAATTCTAATGCATTTGACCATTTCAACTTCATAATTACACAGTAAGGTAAGTTTGTTGCCATTTTCTTTTTCTTTTTCTTTTTTTAAGATGGGGTTTCACCATGATGGCCAGGCTGGTCTTGAACTCCTGACCTCAGATCATCCACCCACCTCGGCCTCCCAAAAGTGCCATTTTCCAGATGAGGAATCCAAGGTGCAGAGGGGCTTAAAGATCTCTCCAAGGACACACAGCCAGGAAATAGAAGAGTCAGAATTCGAGTTTAGGTCATTTGACAGCTTGTTCAGTTATTATTTCTCTACCCTAAGCTGGCACTCACCCAAGAATGAATGACATGGAATGGTGAATATTTGGACACAAATAAAAGGTAAGAAGTCATAATAGGAGGGGAGGTGAAAAGATTTTGTAAAATGGCTCCCTTTTTTTTTTGGGCCTGTACTGATAACCCATGGTCAGTGTTCATGACTAACCCTTCCAAAATCAAAGGCAAAATGAAAGCTTGTTTGTTTAGACAATGTGAGCTGTTGAGATGGCTCTAAGTTTAAAGAAAAAAAGCAAACTATCAGAATCCACCTAATCCCCTTCTCCAGGAACCAGTGAAGCAATGAGTGGGGGAAAGCAGTCAGACCAGCGGCCGAGGGATGGAGCAAGTGGGTAAACAGAGCCGTCAAAGGAGCCTGAACTCTGACCATGTCCCACTTCATGTACACCTTTGGCTGGGGGTCAGCTGCCTCCTCTTCATGGAAAATTCTGACCGTGGAATTTGGTTAACCCTTGCCCAGGACCAGTCACTGACCCACTGAGGGGTGAACACCCTAATCAGCTCCAGCTGTTTCCGCCTAACTCTGAGAAAACAATAGTTTGATGTTTTAGATGATGCATCCACATGACTTCTGGTACCCATAAAAAGGTGGCTGGATTTAAAAAGAGGAAAAAACATCTAAAGTATAGAAATTTAATATCTGTACATTATTTCAATCAACTTTTACGTGAATTCAAAAGCGCAACGATCATGTTGTTAGTCATATAAGTGGTGCTTAGTAAATATTTGTTAAGCAGCCTGGGCAATATGATGAAACCCACCTCTACAAAAAAAAAAAAATACAAAAATTAACCAGGCATGGTGGCATTTGCACCTGTAGTCCCAGAGGGGCTTGAAGGTCAGCCTGGGAGGTTAAGACTGCAGTGAGCCATGATTGCACCATTGCACTCCAGCCTGGGTGACACAATAAGACCCCATCTTTATAAAAAAACAAAAAAACCCAAACCAAACCAAACCAAAACAAAAAAAAAAAACCATGTTGAATTTGATCTAAGATAAAAGCAATTTTATATCCTATGCTGTAACTATTTTCAGAGCTTAATATGTAAGACATGACATATGTAAACACAAGATATCTTTTAAGCTATGAATTCTAAGTAGGACCGCTGAAAGAAGTTTCCTAGGGTATAGTGCTAAGAAAAGTAATGCAATATGTCTATGTCTAGTCACTGGTTCACATGTGTTCAAGTTAGATTGGCCTGGGTAGTAGAGCTGGGCAAATGATTCCAGGATTCAACCTAGTTTTACAATTTTCACCCTGGAATTAATTTCCAACAATCTAACTCTGTTTCAAAATCCACAGATCCCAAAATCTCTCTAGTGGTTCTTGTGTCCACCGACTTTGAGACATAATAGGCCAGCAACGGTCTTTTGTTCAGGTACTAATGCTTTTGCTCATTTATTTATTCATTCATTCCATATAAGTTAAGTGTTTACCATGGGCCACACACCTTGCTGGGTGCTAGGAACAGAACGATCAGTAAACATGGTCTTTACAATCAAGGGATTTGCAGTCAGTTGTGAGAAACGGGCCATGAATACATACAAATTTAACACAAAGTGAAAGAGGTATGTGGCATCAGAAAAATCGAGATAAAGAATGATGGGGATTCAGAGCCTGACTTCTCTCACCTCTAAAATGGAGATAACCAGACTGTCTTTTTCACCAGGTGGTTTACAGGTTTCAGTGAGGTCGCTTCTGTGCATACAGTTCTGCCCTCACTAATGCGTTGCCTGAATGCTGATGTTACCCACTTACACTGGGTAGGACTCCTCAGCAGGGAGAGGGGTTGCAAGCCTGCTCCTGAAGCTTCTTCGTGCCACCTCTTCCACTTTCTTCCTTCCCCATCTGCAACCCTTAGACAATTACTTTCAACTGTCTTTTTGCAGATGCCCTTGGTTCCCTCCACCCCACCCCCAATCTATTAAGTAGATGGTTAGTAAATGAATGTGTGTTTACCTGAGCTTTGATTGTGACTGTGGAATGTGCTTTGGAATCAAAAGCCTCTATTGTGAGTTCTGGCGTAAGTGTCTGACATGACTTGATCAAGTCATTTGACTTCTCTAAGCCTAGTTTTTCTCATCTAGGAATGTGGGGGCTCAAAGGAAATAACATCTATCTTCTTCTCATTTTCTGTAGAGACGCCGTTTCATTACGTTGCCCAGGCTGGTCTCAAACTCTTGGCCTCAAGCAGTCCTCCCACTTTGGCCTCCCAAAGTGCTGGGATTAAAGGCATAGACCACATCGCTGGATGAAATGGCACGTATAAAATAAGATTGTAAATAGCAAAAACTAAGAGTACCTGTGAAAAAAAGAATTGTTATGAGTATTCTTAGTGAGGCAAGCATCTGTCACATACTGACATCCCCCTGCCCGAGTGTCCTGGCTCTGCTGGTGGCACTTAGAGACAGAGAGACTTACTTACCTTAATATTTTCATTGTATGTGTCAGAGTAAGGCACGACTTGAAATCTAATGTCTTGGGAGCTGATATTTGTGGTCAAATGATGAACGACTTTCTGCACCTCCTCCACAGCCTGGGAAATCTGCTGGCGCCTCAAGTCCACCTGGGTGTAGGAGGGATCAGCAGAGGTGGTTATTTCTTATGTGGGCCCCAAGGCACTGGCATAAGAAACTGAGGAGACAAGGGAAAAGCAAGGCGTGACCCGGGGAATTTAGTTCAAAAATCCTGCCTTCCCAAGACGCAGGGGAGATGGACTTTGGTCAGACTCTACTGAGAAGACACGTGTTGGGGCCTCAATGTTCTTTTTTATAACAGATGCATTCATTTGGTATTTATCTAGGACCTACTATGTAGCAGGTGCCAGGCCAGGTGCTGGGGATACAACAGTGATTAAGACAACAGTGAACAGTGTAGATACTTGCCCTCTGGTTGAAAATACAGGAATATGGCCAGGCGCAGTGGCTCACGCCTGTAATCCCAGCACTTTGGGAGGCCGAGGCAGGCGGATCACAAGGTCAAGAGATCGAGACCATCCTGGCCAACATGGTGAAACCCCGTCTCTACTAAAAATACAAAAATTAGCTGGGCATGGTGGTGTGTGCCTGTAGTCCCAGCTACTTGGGAGGCTGAGGCAGGAGAATTGCTTGAACCTGGGAGGTAGAGGTTGCAGTGAGCCGAGATCGCGCCACTGCACTCCAGCCTTGTGACAGAGCAAGACTCTGTCTCCAAAAAAAAAAAAAAGAAAATACGGGAATAAGGTTGGGTGTGGTGGCTCACGCCTGTAATCCCAGCATTCTGGGAGGCCAAGGTAGGTGGATCACCTGAGGTCGGGAGTTCAAGACCACCCTGACCAATATGGTGAAACCCAGTCTATATATTAAAAAAAAAAAAAAGAAAGATAAAAAAGAAAATACAGGAATATATGTAAATATAATATATTATATATAATTATAAAATATCAATATCATAATATACAGTATTATACCTGATATTACATTATACATAGACACCCATATGTATGTATGTATATATGTGTATTTCTGTATATATATACATTTTCATAGATATGTGTGTTTAGGTGTCTATGTGTGTGTGTATAATATAATATCAGGTATGATAAGTCCCATGAAGAAAAATAAAATATGATAAGGGACTAGAGAATAAAGTGGCAGCTATTTTAGTTAGGGTGGACAATGGACAAAGAAGACTTCTCTAAGGAGGTGACATTTGAGCGAGGATGAGGACAGCTTAGAAGAGCAGATTCCATGCTCCTCCTCTGAAGCAGACAATTCCCTAAGGCTGGCAGCGAGGCCGCTGTGGATAGACCGGCAAACAGAAGGTGACAGGGGGTGGGTCTGGAGAGCAAGGCAGGGGCCGGGGCATCACACAGGGCTTTGTAAACCATGGTGAGACTCTCCCATGGCACCGTCATGCCTGCTGCCCTGGGTGTGAATATTAAACTTCTTAACATGCATCAGCGCTCGGCAGCTTGCCTCCTACCGACGTCATCAGTAAGTGATGGTCCTGTTTGTCTCTGTACTCACCCCTGCATTTTGCTTCTAGACCCTTAAGAAAAGGCATGCATTTATGTTTCTGCTGATAGAGAGTTACCACAGTGAGTTACCAAGAGCTGGGAAATTCTCATAGAAAATTGAACACTAATCAGATACTTAAGGTTTAGGGAAATAGATGTTTGTGGGAAACACAAATGAACTTTTAGTAAGCTCCAGGAGAGACACAGAAAAATCCAAATAAGAGACAGAAGGGTCTGCAAGTTTTTCTGAAATGGAGGGGGCTCTTTATCATTTGCTCAGGAGGCACTTACAAGCCGCTGTCATGACAAGACTCTCCTTCAGAGGCTCCTTCAGCCAGTAACCAATTTTAAGCAATATCAGATACGTCTCAATCTAACGCCCATCCATGAATCTCTGAATTATGGTATAATGGCTGTTTCTACATATTTTAGAATCATTTTGAGACATCCATAAACTGATCACGACAGCCAGAAAAAAAAGCCCACGTCAAAGAGATTCCTGTTTTCCTAAATTACGTCATCAACTAGGCCAGTCACCTGAGATCTCACTCATACTTCCCATCAACCAGGAAGCCAACTTCACATGTACATAGAATAAGAATGTGACTGTGCACCTATTTGTACACATGTTGTGTAGCACATGGAGAGTCAGTTCATCAGTAAGTATCTATTTAACACGTGCTCTGTGGTGGGCGCCGTTCAATGCTGAACACAGCAATGCATAAAATAGACACAGCCATGCACTGGCAATAGTGAGGAAGACAAATACAGGTACAGAATACCAGTGTGGGGATGCTATTGTGGAAAAAATAACAAATGACAAATAAAGCTTTTAGAAGCCCAAAATGAAAGTTCCTCTCCAGCGCAGGACTTCCCCACTGTGTCATGATTCAATCTTATTCGAGTAATTTTAGCAGAACATCTAGTTTATGCTGGGCTCTGTGCACACATGTTGCCACAAGGTTTCTAGATAACTTGACAAAGCAAGACAAATAAACTGGAAATTGACATCACTGCACTCCGGTGCAAGGTAGAGGTCTGCACAAATGCTGTGGATACACAGAAAAAGGACACTTCACCAGTTTGGAGGTTGGGAGGCCTCCCTGGAGACACGGTGTGTTGGAGTTTTATCTTGAAAGCTTAGTAGGAGTCCGCTAGGAAGAAAGGAGCGTGAAGCTTGCTCCAGAAAGAGAAAACAATTGCACAGGCATACCAGCACAAAGAGAGAATCTGTGTTCCTCATGCCTGTGCGATTGTTCCGTGATATTTTTAGAATATAATCACCTTAGAGGAGGCGGTGAAGTGGGAGGATAAACAGTGAGAGGTCTCAAAAGTAGAGGAAGAATTTCAAGAACAAAGTCAACAGTAAGTGGCTGAGTGAGTCAAGGCCCCCGAATGTCCATGGAGTCTGCTGTGTTGAGGGAATGCTGGGCACTAGCATTAATGGTGGGGGAGAAGTGGGCCTAAGTGGTGGATTAAGGCTGAATGGGAGACAACCAAGTGAAGACGGAGGTAAGCAACTCCTCCAAGAACTTTTACTTGGGGGGAAAACCAAAACAACAGGAATGTGAACAGGTTTTCCTTGTTTGTTTTGGTTTGCAAAATGATACACAGGCTTCAACATTTTTAAATGCTGAGAGAAAAGAGTCAGTGGTGAGAGAAGAGAGAGCAAAACCATTTTATAAGGATTTCCCACCCGAAAGGAGTCATGACATCCAGAAGCCTGAGTGAGGAATTCATCTTGGTGTGGCAGAAGGAAAGAAGGGGAAAAGGGCGCAGACACAGGTAAAAGGGTAGGGAAGAGGTTTCAGGCGATAGACTGGTGAAACAGCTGCTGTAAGGAATGAGAGACTGTTTCGGCACATGTCTGTTTAGGTACATGTGTAAACATAGCCAGACAGTATCGAGACTTGGCTGAGGCTGCGTCCATGAGGCTGTGGGATACCAGTAAGCTCAATTGTGAGATCTTCACCACCTCTTAGCCCTCCAAAGGTAAGCGCTGAGGTGCTAAGATTGGAGTTTGCTGGGCAAGAGCCAGAGAAAGATTAAAAAGCAAGGGAGGGTTTTAGTGGCGGGCTACATTTTCCAGCCTGAATAAAGGACAGATAAAGCTAGTGGTAGAAGAGGGAACATGAGGCAAGTTCAGGGACCTGAAGTCTGATCAGGTACAGTGGGGAACAGTAATACAAGAGTTAACTAGAGAGAACATTGCAGGCAGAGTTGTTGAGAAAGAGTATTCTCTAAGTTAAGTTCTCAGAATATGCTGAAGACCAAGACGAGCCTCCTGAATCTACCAGCCCCACTGATGTAATTCCATGGAACCTGAATGTTAGGAACATAGCAGTGAAAATATATGCATGTGTGTATATGCATATACATATACTTGTAAATATATTTTTCCCGAGTTAATAAACTAATGAAAGATTCATCACCATCAAATCATCTTTAACTAATAGAAGTATAAGAGTGTATGCATGTACATGTGTGTGCATGTGTGTACATAACACATGTGAAGAATAGCCGATTGGAAAAAGTACTTCATTATAAATCTCTTCAACAAATGAATTGTGTCCTCATTTTTTTTTTTGAGATGGAATTTCACTCTTGTTGCCCAAGCTGAAGTACAGTGGCACGATCTCGGCTCGCTGCAACCTCCGCCTCCCAAGTTCAAGTGATTCTCCTTGCCTCAGCCTCCCAAGTAACTGGGATTACAGGTGCCCTCTATCACGCCTGGCTAATTTTTTGTATTTTAAGTAGAGACAGGGTTTTATTATGTTGGCCAGGCTGGTCTCGAACTCCTGACCTCAAGTGATCTGCCTGCCTCGACCTCCCAAAGTACTGGGATTACAGGCATGAGCCACCACGCCCAGCCAAATTGTGCCCTCATTTGATGGTGAAATTCTTACCAGGCAGGACAGGATCACACACTCCTGGAAAACAACTATAATCTCTCACTTGCCACACAGGTTATTAGCTCACCCTTATGACCTGTTTTGATTGCCAAAGGTGAAAGTCAGAATAAGAGAATGCTTTCTGAGACCTAGAATCACAAATTCCAGTTTTAATTTTCTTCTTCCATCACTTCTGTTGCAATTTAGACTCAGGATCTTAGAAATGGACGAGACCTCAGAAATTGCCTTGTCTGGTGTGACTTTACAGAGGACCAGCATGACAGGCGGCTTTCCTGACATCACACTAGCAGTTAGATGCAGAACTAGACAGGTCCTCCAACTCTTCTTTCCATCACAGTTTGCCACACCCTCAAGCACTGATGTACCAGAAGTATCACCTACCCTTTATCCTCTTCCTGAACCTAAAAGTGCCTTCAACTTAAAGTCAAGACTCATTAAGTCTCCGTGTATTTGGGCATCAGCAACTGTTCTGGCTTCTCACAAGCACAAAGGGTCATGCCGCAGGGGCCAGACAGTGAAGTCCCTGCTGTGGGACCTGAGTGGAAGCCTCTTTCTCACTAGGCGATGGGCAGCCCCGTCCCTTGCCACGTCTCTGGCTACACTTCCCGCAATAAGTTCTTACCCACACAGCATCACTGCACTATTTGGTAGGCCCAGAAGTGACTTGTGCTGGGGGTTTCCAGGCTTAGTCCCAGACACCTCTTGTCACCCTCATGGTGTGACAACACAGAATCCCCAGACTGTTTCTCTCCACTTCTCCTGGCCACACCCTAGGCAGATACAGCAAGAAGTTCATTTCAGGGTGTGGAAAAGCAGGCACTGGGGCTTGGCAGCCTTGAGACAGCCTTGTCACCAAACCTAGTTCATGGCAAAACATGGAAACAAATTCTGTTTGGGCCTTGCTCTTCCCAGGCGTGTCCCCATGCTGTTGCAGGTCCATGTCCCATCCTGGGCCCCTTTCCTCTCCTCCTCCTTAACCACAGCGTCAGGCTCATTGTTGCCCCACAAGTCACTTGCTGCTATTATTAGCTCAAGTTCGTGAATATTGCTGCTATTAATAGCTCAAGTTTGCGAATAAGTTACTGTTTCAAATATAAATTATGGAAACTCAAGGTTATTCCTTACAATAATATCACTCTGACTCACTCGCATTCCGGTACGCTTCCTTGCGAGAGAGATGGAGTGTTGGTGCTAAGTAGCATGCCAGGAATGGCACACAGGTCATGCCCATGAGCAGCTAGCCCATGTGTATGTCATTTCCGATGAGTGTTACTGGAAAGAAAAGACAGAGAACTTCCTTCCAGAAAACAAGAGGTCAGACCTTCAATTCTGGAATTGCATGGAGTCCAGTAATCAGTTAAAAGAATTTCAACCAAACAAAAACAGGTATCATCTCCGTCTTTCGGGGGCTAATAATTTAGAGAAATGGAAAGTTCAATCCAGTGATAGATACACACGAGAAAATACGCTTCCCACCATCATATCCCTTCCTTTTTAGACTAATTCTTCCATGAATCAAATGCTTGGGCCACACAGAATATTTGCAGCCCCCAAACGTAGCAGAAGCAGCAGCACTGTAGTACTGAGATTATTGAGTCTTTCCTGTGTGCAGACCCTTTTGTAAGGGTAGGCTCATTCGTGCCTACCCATAATTCTTTAAGGTGGATGCTATGATTATCCCCGTTTTATAGATGAGGAAACCAAAGCTCAGAACGTTTAAGTAATTTTCCCAGGTTCCCAGAGTTAGTAAGTTACAGAACACAGGTAGCATCCTTCCAAAACCCGTATTTGTAACCACTGCACCGTTCTGCCTCTCCAAAAGAAAAAGGTGACCGGGAATGAAGCACTCCTTGACTGTGTGAATGGGGTTCCCTTAGTCCTGAAGACCTTTCCTGTACTTCTCCACTTATTAAAACCCTACACTTCGTTCAAGGCTTTGTCTCCACTCTTCTTTCTGTAAGACACCTTTCCCATCAGACCTAATGCATCTCTGCTCTCCTCCAGCAATCTGTTGAAATCTCTACTGCTTCCCTTACGGTCCGCCATGCATTATATCAAGCATTTGCCTGACTGCACGTGAAATTCCCTCCTTCTTCCTTGGGAGCTATGTGCAAAATCTGCATGTAGGACACGGCTAAGACCAAAACTAAAATTTCTCTCTCATTCAGCGGGCCACATCTCAGGCCTTGGTCTTCCTCAAACACAGTATTTTGTACAAAGTATTAGCACAGTGTTTTGCACAAAGCAGGTGCTTAGTATGTGTTTGCAGAGACATACCGGAGTTTAGCAGAGGACATACGGCCTTTGGATTAAAAAAGATGAGGCTAAAACTTCAGCCCCCTCATAATTTAGCCGTGTAACTTTGGATGGACAAGTTATTTAATCTCCACAAGCCTCTGTTTCCTCCTCTGTAAAAACAGAGGCAATTTGTACATCACATGGCTGTTGATTAGATCAGATGAGATCCTGTAAGCACCTTGACCTGTCGGCTTCCACACCATTCTTGCCTCACCTTTAATGAACTCTGAAGAGATTTCTGATCATATATATGCAAGATACTCTGTGAATGTCAAAGAGAAGAAGGACATGCAAGACACTGTTCTTCCCTCCAGAAACTTATAAAGAATGAAATGATTTGACATGTAAGTTGCCAATCAAGATGATAATAGGACAGTGTGAGGAGTTGATACACAACTCATGGCCAAATAAATGGTGCCAGTGATACTAATTCTAATGGGAGTGAATATGTGGGCAGAAACACTTCGTGTTGGGAGTCAAGGACTCCGTCTCGAGAAGGTGAACTCTGAATTTGAAGGATGAATATGAGCCGGAAAGGTGGCAAGGGGGAGCTGGGGCCCTTGGCCTGCTCAGGGCCCAGTTCTCGTTGGGCAGAAGTGGGAGAGTCAATCACCTACAGGAATGGAGAGGAGACGCATGTGAGAGAGGCAGCGGGGACCAGGAGCAAGTGTCAGATACCGGAGCGTTCAGCCTCCTGAGAGGTGGCCAGCACATGCTCTGCTAACAAACACTCAGCCCCGCCACACGGTTTCCAGGGAAGAAATTGGGACCTGTGGTTGCCGAATATTCTGATTGTTTTTCCCCTCAAAAGACAGCAATCTGCATGTCTATGCAAAACCTCGCTATTTTGAAATGTTTGTGAAAAACATTAGAAATAATCTACAGGCCAAACAACACACGGGCACGAGCTGGATTCAACATGTTGAGCACTGTTTAGGATTTCTGCTACTGGAAATGCAGGGGGAGCAGAGGGCAAAAAGAGCAGTCCAAGTTACTTGAACGCTATGCTAAAGATTTTGGAGTTTTTTCTTACAAAAAATACAGGACCCATGGAAAAAAAATGCCAGCCAGTATCTCTACCATTTAGAATCCTCAAAGGGAGGAATAATGGGAAATCACTTTGTTTACCATAGTTTTGTCATCCCAGGTTTTCCTTATTTATTTCTCTTAATGATTCTGCCTAAGAAATACAGTTTGCTTATCCCTATGATAATGATCTTTGCTTTGTGTGCTTGTAAAGGCATGAAAACTGCAGACTAGTTCCTACTTCTCAGTCAATTTAACTATTTTGGTTTTAACATTAACATCCTGCCTTGGTAGCTTCATCCGTAAATGAAAAGGCTTAAACTGGATGATATTTTAAGACACCTTCAAGTTCTAACATTTTTTGACAGCCTATGACCATCTAGAAGAAATTAAATTCTTAACTGATGTGTACCAAAAATATGATAATATTTAAAAACCTAGTAGTTTCACAGTTTTTAAGAAGCTTTGTTTTAATTTCATTTGCTCTTTTTCCAAGACCCCATGAAGCTCCTATTACTATTCCCATTTTACAAAGCAGAAGGCCAAGGCTCAGTCAGATTAAGTGACTCGTGACCACACGAGTGTCAGTTGCAGAGCTGGAGTTCCCCCCATCCCCCCGATTCCAACTATTCCAACTCTCTGTTCTGTATTCTATACCGAGCATGTCTCTGGGAACTGAACCCTCAAAGAGAAGACTGAAATATGTGAAGTCCCCAAACATTGTTATGGGTGACAGTCTGTTTTCTGAGGAGCATTTTATGTACATTTAGAAACAGCTTGAGATACTTTCTGGATCAAGGCTTGGTTGGGAGCAGTGTGAATGGGGAAGGGGTGCATGGGAGAGACTGGGTCTGTCCTTACCTTATTCAGCAGGCAATCTTCTAAGTCTCCCACAGTAAGGGATTTCATGGCTTCTTGGTCAATCCTGAGTAGAACAGCAACTTCCTGGTTTTTTTTCTCAATGGAGTATAACACTCATGAGTAGATAGCACACCCAGTAATGTGAGTCTCTCGGTACTGAATTTTTCCGGAAATGTGTAATGGACCAGAGATTTTCCTTCCAAACCTTTCACTCAAGTTTTATTTCCAAATTATGAAAATCCAGCTGTCATCTTCTGGGAAATTTTTTAAAAAGAATTTAAAAAGAAGAGTTGATAAAATTGAATTTGAGTCCAACCTAATTATACCTTATTTCACTATATTGACTGGTTCTTTGACCAGAGAGCAATTTTCCAAATTGTATTTCCCACCCAAGTACTTAAAAGTTCCATCCAAGTTAGAAATACCCCGTACTTGGCTTCTCCCCACCTTTTATGCTCCTGTCCCGACACTAGATGCACCGTGGAACTCAGTATCTTATATCTCCTCATCCTTATCTTGTTGACAGTAAATACCCCTTGCTCTCCAATCCAGAAAATCCCACAGATTGATTTACTTTCTTTACAATAAACAAATAAAAAACTGCTGAACAACCAGCCTGGGACCCATCATTATGCCCACAAACAAGTGATCAGGTTTTGTCAACCACAGCAGAGCACAACGGTTAGCATTTGGAAAAGCATGCACACACGTACACACAGGCACACACGTACACACAGGCACACACGTACACAGAGGGCACACACATACACACAGGCACACACGTACACAGAGGGCACACACGTACACACAGGCACACACGTACACACAGGCACACACGTACACACAGACGCGCACACACACACAGGAATGGCGGGTCAGGAATCCTTCTGCTCACCTGCTGACCTTTAAACGTAATTTCCCTCTTCCAACTTGAAAGCTGGCAGTAAAAATAAAGTCAGTGTAAACAGGTCCCTTGAGAGTCGAGGGAACACTCAACGTCTGGTTTTGCCAGCAAAACTTACGTTGGAAAACAGCTCAGGCAGTAAATTCCCAGTTGGGCTGGCTGGGGCTAGTTTTACTACAGAAGAAAAAAAAATTCACAATGGTCTGATCTCCTTGAAGCTGGTAAACATCACGGGAGTCTGCTATCAGGTAATCTAAAGAAATGACAGCCCTCCTGGGAGCACTGCTTACTTTTGAGCAATGTTGCAAAGGCAGGTGCTTCCAATCCCACCTGGAAGTGCTGCCTGCAAGGCGACTCCACTGTCCGGGGCCTCAGCATTTGCATATCTTCCCATACTCTGCCCCAAGCAAAAGCCAAATCACAGTTCCCTGGCTGCTCTGTGCCCCACCCACGTTATGCGTCCCAGCTCTCAGTTCAGCTTCTACAGAAACTCCTGCCAGTGCAGAGCCTGAAACAAATATTGTAAACTACATCCTCTCCAATGACGCTCTGATCGCACCCCCTCAAAACAGCCTTGATTTTCCATTTGCTTCTATATGTAATTCTAAATCTCCTTCTTTTTATATCAAGTACTCCCAAGTTTTTCAAAATCTTATTCCCTGGGCTTCTCTTATCATAGTAGTCCCAAACTATTTGTCTTTTGCAGACGGAGCAAGAGCCTGTTTCTCTGAACTTGCAATTTAGTATGCTCTCTCTGCTTCATTTTCAACACCACCAAAGTCCCACTGTTTCTCCCATGTGCTCATTTTTGTCACAACTTCTGTTTTCACTGTAATCATTAACTTGTGAGTCACTTTCCCATGGTGGGGTATTTCCTCATGTTCAAGGGTTACCCCAGACCCCTGTCATCATGTTTGCACCTGTGGCTGCCCTATCTTGATTGCTCTAGTGCTTCAGCTGATCAAAATGTTATAACTGGGATCTTCTCTTGCCCGAGACAATTGCAGATGTGAGCAACCAACGGGGCAACTGAGCGGCTAGGAAATGAAGAAATAATCCTGTGCTCAGGGAAGCTACACAGTCTGATTTTACCAGGATGCCGTGCCCAGGGAATAGCTGTGTTGTGGGAGCACAGCCTAGGTCCCCACTCCGTGATACAGTTCCTTATGGGCAAATGCTCTGAAATACAGGGCAGTCCCACAAATACTGACTCTCTGACAGCTCCTGTCTGACAGATTGATGAAGACAAGCTTTCTTTTTAGATATAGATATCTGGGTAATTGAGTATAGGATCCACAAAAAGGGATTGAATTACAGTAAGCCTAGGGCACTTGTAGGCCAGGCCACTGAGGAAATTCAAAGTTAGCTCAGGGTTCTCTTCCTTCCTTGGAAAATAAATGTCCTCATTTCTCATGACTCACACCAAATGCAAGTATGGAAATGTAAACCTGCTTTGGCTCAGTTTCTGTTGTGAAGAGTAAGAACTAATGTTTAAAAGTCAGGTTAACAAGGTATTCCAAAACCCTATGCTGTCAGTGTAAGAAGTCTCAGGGAGATAATGCTAGCCCTGGTTTACCAGCAGAAGTGTTTGTTACTGATTTACTTAGTGTCTGAGATTTTAATTTCTTTTTTTTTTTTTTTTTTTTGAGACAGAGTTTCGCTCTTATTACCCAGGCTGGAGTGCAATGGCGCGATCTCCGCTCACCGCAACCTCTGTCTCCTGGGTTCAAGCAATTCTCCTGCCTCAGCCTCCCGAGTAGCTGGGACTACAGGCGTGCGCCACCATGCCCAGCTGAATTTTTGTATTTTTAGTAGAGACGGGGTTTCACCATGTTGACCAAGATGGTCTCGATCTGTTGACCTCGTGATCCACCCGCCTCAGCCTCCCAAAGTGCTGGGATTACAGGCTTGAGCCACTGCGCCCGGCTGATTTTAATTTCAAGGAGGAAGGTTAGCTTGATCCAAATCAACCTGAAATATGCAAATTTATTAAAGTTTGCCAGGGTTAAATACTCTGACTTTTTAAAAGATTTCTGGTAATCCCAGATGACTCAGATTAAATCTGACAATGCAGAAGACCAGACAGAGATAATCACCTGTGAAGTCCACAGTAGTGAACACAGGGGGCTTGTCTATTCCATATGTCCAGAGAAGCCTCAGTGCCTGACACACAACTGGCCCTCATTAAGTGTTACTGAATGCTTATTTGATTGTGTTAAACATTATGCAAAATAACATTATTTATTAGAATGTCACTAATGTGACATTTATTAGAATGTCATTAATGTGACATTCAATAAATAAAATATATTTTAGATGTGTAAAATCACCTGACAAATTATAAATTTAATTATATACACGCACCTGTGACTGCTAGCTTCTTTTACAGAAAGGCATGATATAAAAAAAAATGTAGCATAGTACTTGGCACATGATAAGAGCTCAAAAAATATTTGTCTTTATACTCCCTTTCACTCCCTGAAGAAAAAGATCCTTTTTTGTAGGGATGTTTAGATTTTGTTTTGTTTCGTTTTTTAATTTTTATTTCAATAGTTTTTGGCATACAAGTGGTTTCTGATTGCGTGGACGAACTGCATGGTGGTAAAGTCTGAGATTTCGGTGCACTCATCACACAAGTAGTGTACACTGCACCCAGTATGTAGTTTTTTATTCCTTAGTTCCCTCCCACCCTCCCGCTTCTGAGTATCCAAAATCCATTATACCACTTTGTATGTCTTGGGATACCCATAGCTTAGCTCCCGCTTATAAATAAGGAGATAAGGTATTTGGTTTTTCTGTTCTGGAGTAACTTCACTTAACGGTGGCCTCCAGCTCCATCCAAATTGCTGTCAAAGACATAATTTGATTATTTTTGATGGCTGAGTAATATTCCATGGTGGACATGTAACACATTTTCTTTATCCACTCATTGGTCCATGGACACTTAGGTTGGTTCCATATGAAAGATCCTTCTTTTACTGTATGTCAGTAATTCTCCTGGTCTGACCTGGTGGGTAGGATTGTTCACTGGGTTGGTCTTCACAGTTCCACCAAAAAGTGGGTCTTCTTTCCTTTCATACTTGACATGGTAATCGAGATAGTTTGAACTTGATCTTTGGTCTGGGTTCAAAGGTAGGGAGTCCGAAATGCAAATTATAGGTCAGGTGGGTGATAAAATAAATCAGAATAGCGTAGAACAATGGAAAGGGGTGGGGGTCTGTGGTGGATGCAAAAGTACATATCCTACCTGAGATATTCTAACTTGTTGGGGTTGTTTGTTTATCGTTTTTCTTTCTTTTTCTTTTGAGAGGGAGTCTGGCTCTGTTGCCCAGGCTGGAGTGCAGTAGTACAATCTCTGCTCACTGCAACCTCCACCTCCTGGGTTTAAGCAATTCTCCTGCCTCAGCCTCCTGAGTAGCTGGAATTACAGGCATGCGCCACCATGCCTGGCTCATTTTTATATTTTTAGTAGAGACAGGGTTTCACCATGCTGATCAGGCTGGTCTTGAACTCCTGACCTTGTGATCTGCCCGCCTCGGCCTCCCAAAGTGCTGGGATTACAGGTGTTAGCCATCATGTATGGCCTGTTTATCTTTTTTTAAGCAACACTGTACTATGCACAAGATTCGCCCCTGCACTCTGCACTCCTGCAATACTAAACTAGTTACAGTTCCCTGAAAGACCCCTCCCTCACCATCTTCTCTGGACCTTGCACTGACAATGCTCACTGCTTGGATTCTCCCCTTACTTTCCACCCCTTCACTGGGCTTCTATTTGTTCTCCAAGATTTTTCTTTTTTTTCTTTTCTTTTTTTTTTTGAGACAGAGTTTCGCTCTTGTTACCCAGGCTGGAGTGCAATGGTGCGATCTCGGCTCACCGCAACCTCCGCCTCCTGGGTTCAGGCAATTCTCCTGCCTCAGCCTCCTGAGTAGCTGGGACTACAGGCACGTGCCACCATGCCCTGCTAATTTTTTGTATTTTTAGTAGAGACGGGGTTTCACCATGTTGACCAGGATGGTCTCGATCTCTTGACCTCGTGATCCACCCGCCTCAGCCTCCCAAAGTGCTGGGATTACAGGCTTGAGCCACCGCGCCCGGCTTCTCCAAGATTTTTCTTAGCTGCTACCTGTTCCAGGGCCTTCTCTGATTCTCAATGCTGAGTAGGGGACTCTGTACAATGCTCTTAAGCCACCCAGGGCTAAACTCCTACTTTAGCTCTTATCATTCTGCATGTTGCTGCTTCGCTGATATCTAGCCTCTGTGGTACCAAAAGCTCCTTGAAAGAAAAGATTTACCTTGTTGGAAACAGCATCTGACATATAGCAGCTGCTCAATAAATGAATGAATGCATGCATGAATTAATGACTAAATGATGGTGGCCCCTTTTCTTATTCTACAATCTAATCCTATTCTATCTCCCACCTGCAGGCATATATAAAGAAAAGTAAAGTTAAATAATGAGTAAGCTCCCGTTACTTCATTTGGGAACACAACAAAAGGAGAAAAGAAAATTTTCCTTGGAAAGGCTTATTTCAACTCAGAAAGTACAAAACAACAGGATAAGATGTTTTGTACCTGAAAGAAGCCAAAAGGTGTCAGGAATGCTGAAAAACTGGCCAATAATTAGAACATGCCATATAGATCTTAGAAGCCAAAATGTCATGTCTTTGTAAAAGTCATGGCTCCATCTGGCCATTTCAATTAAAAGTACATTATTTCTTCGCTGCAATAATTATGACAATACATACAGAAAAAACGAATTCCCCAACATTAGACTGAAGAAAGAAAATAAAAATTTATTTAACACCAACAGTTCTACCACTATAGAGCCTGTGGTCAACAGGAAAGAATGAGAAATAACCAGCAATGCCAACTCCAGCTCGCTATGCAGCAAAGATGACCTGTTCTAGTCACAAAATCGTCCATCATAAAAGATCCTGGTTTGGGCTGGGGGAAGGGAGGCTGTCTTTAACTGTTTCCATCTCTCCTCGTGTCCACCCATCTGTACTTTTATGTGCTAGAATGTCATTCTGGATCTTCTTCATTCAAATGGTGCAACATGGAGGGCAACCCAGAAACTTATTTTTAACAGAGACCAGTTGTCAATATAATGAAGCTTCTGCTATGGTTTGGATGACACTTTATTTTCAAATCAAATAGTAAAAGATGTTTCCATTTTCACATTTTCCTTCCTGGTTTAAAAAAAAAAAGTTGTATTTTTATCTGAAACTTTTCCTTAAGTCTGTATGCAACTCCTTTCCCTCTGTCCTGAGCCATGTGAGGCTGGTATATTTTTCAGTTGACACCACCAGATAAATACTCACAGTGAGAAAGGCATTTAAGAAAGCGACAAGGCCGGGCACGGTGGCTCACGCCTGTAATCCCGAGCATTGGGAGGGTGAGGTGGGCGGATCACCTGAGGTCAGGAGTTCAAGACCAGCCTGGCCAACATGGTGAAACCCCGTCTCTACTAAAAATACAAAAATTAGCTGGGTGTGGTGGTGGGCACCTGTAATCCCAGCTACTCAAGAGGCTGAGGCAGGAGAAATGCTTGAACCTGGGAGGCGGAGGTTGCAGTGAGCCGAGATGGTGCCACTGCATTCCAGCCTGAGCGACAGAGTGAGATTCCCTCTCAAGAAAAAAAGAAAAGCACACATTTGGTTTTATTAATTTGTTATGCCATGAATCTAAGTTGTAACTTTATTGAGCTGTTCAACTCAGTTTCTGTGCTGTCTGAGTTAGGTGACAGGGAATAGCTGGTTGGAGGAAGTAATTGGTGCCAGTTCTTGGGCACATATGGAACTGTTTCTTCCCTCTGGGCTCTACTGCTCATGACACATGACCAATATGTCTGTGTTTTAATTTAAAAAGACCCAGAGTGAAGATATAGACCCAGAGATCGATGGAACAAAAGAGAAAGTCCAATAATAGACTCATACAAATATAGCCATTTGATCTTTGACAACGTGTAAACACAATTTAGTGGAGGAAACTTATCCTTTC